CCTCTTCCACTTCCCCTTCACCTATCCTCTCCTCTTTTCCTTCCCCTTCCAATTTCTCTTCCCCTTCCCATTCCCTTTCCACCTCTGTCTTAACTCTTCCCCTTCCTATTACTGTCTCTTTCCCCCTTCCCCTTGCACTTCACCTTCCACTTCCTTTCTCCTTACTCTTATCCTTCTCCCTTACCCTTACGCTTACCCTTACCCTTTGCCCTTCCCGTTCCCCTTTCCCCCTTACACTTACACTTTGCTCTTCCTTTACTCTTTCATTCTTTATTCATTCTCCTTCCCCTCTCCTTCCCTTTCTTCCACTTTCCTCTTTCCTTTGCACTTCACCTTCCCCTTCCCTTTCTCCTCCCCCTTACTTTTCCCCCTTATCCTTTGCCCTTCCCCTTTCACTTCCACCTTATTCTTACTTTTACTCACTCCCCTTCCCCTTCCCTTCCCTTACTGATTTCCCCTTTCCCTTCTCCTGCTTCCTTTTCTTCCTGTGCTTCCCCTTCTCTTTTTCTTTCCCCTTTGCCCTCCCCTCCTCTTCTCTTTTCTTTCCATCTTTTCCTTGCTATATCCCCTTACTTTCCACCTCACATTCCCTTTTCTTTATCTCTTTCCCCTTCCAATTTCCCTTAGCCCTTTCCATTCAACTCCCATCTTCCCCTCTCCCCTTCTCATTCCCCTTCCTCTTCCTTTCCATTCCCCTTTCCCTTTTGCTTTGCTATCATCCTTCCCCTTTCCCATCTCCTCCTCCTTGCTTTCCAATTCCCCTTCCTGTTTCACTCCCCCTCCCTTCCACAATTCCCTGCTCCCCCCATTTCTCTTTTACCCTTCTGCTTTCATTTCCCCTTTAACCTTCCCCATTCCTTTCCCCTGCCCATCCTCTTCTCCCTTTATGTTTCCCTTCCTCTTTCTCCATCCATTTCCCCTTCCTCCTTCCCTTTCTTCTTCCTCTCCACCCTTCCTCTTTCCTTTTCCTCTTCTCCTTTCCCCTACCTGTTCCCTTTCTACCTTCCCTTTCTCCTTCCTCTTCTCCCTTTCCCTTCTACTACCTGTTTCCTTCCCACCTTCCCCTTTTCCTTTCCCATTCTCCTTTCCTTCTCCTTCCTCTTTTCCCTTCCACCACCCAATCCCCTCTCACCTTCCCCTTCTTCTTGCCCTTGCCCTTCCCCTTCCCTCTTCTTGTCTTCCCCATCCCCTCTCCCTGCCCTTTACCCCTTTCTCCCTTCTCTTCCTTTTCTCCTTCCCCCCCAACTTCCTTTTCCACTTCCCACTCCCCTCCCCTTTCTCTTTCCTCTTCCTCTTCCTCCTTCCCCTTTGCCCTTCCTTTCCTTTTCCTTTCCCCTCCTGTTCCACTCCTATTTCCCTTTCTTATTCCCCCTTCTCTTTCCACTTCCCCCACCCCCCACCTCCTCCTGTTTCTCTTTCCCTCTCCCCTTTCTCTTCTTCCTTTACCATCCCTTCCACTCTTCTTACCCTTTCGCTCTTCCCTTCCTTTCCTCTCCCCCTTCAATGAATCCTACATCTTCACTCTTCTAAACCCTTCTCCCTCTCCTTCTCCTTCTCCTTCTCCTTCTCCTTCTCCTTCTCCTTCTCC